TTTGTTGGTCAATTTGTGACTCCAAGTAATGTAAAGAACAGATTCGCAGGATTTCTTTAGGTATGAACAGTATTAGGAAGTGAGGAGATCACAAGTGTGCTGGTGCGAATCCCTGCCCCACCCTGGCCTTAGAGTGCACATCAACAAAAACTGCCCGACTTCCTGGACACTGCTACCCATTCACGGTGGGTTAAATGTGGAGTTCCATTGACAAACAAAGCTGCTGCTTCTTCCTTCTTCTCCCTCCACATCTCCTGTCAGAGAGGATTTCAATGTTGACAATATTTAATAAAAAATAAAATAAAAAATCAACTACACTAGTGTGACAGAACCGCAGCCGAGGCTGTGCCAGAAAGAATTTAGGAGCATAACTGATAGTGGTAAATTAGCCTCTTTTTTTATAACAACCAGAAAACAGATTTACAACAATATATTATTTTGAAGTGCCATTCTTTCTCTGCTAACTATTAAGAGCTGAAATGAATAGGACTTCAGGAGTAAGGAGGAAATACAGAGGATAATGGAAGCGAGATGAAAACAGACAACATTTAAGAGCTCTGTACTGCAGGTCTAAAAATACCTGAATATCCATGTCTGATCTCTGCTGGAAAACTGAAGAGGAACGTGCTGCATTGAATTGATTGAAACTGAAACGTAACCTATTTCTAATGGATCTTTACTGAAATGTAATATTTCTACTCACTGCTTTCTAGAGTGGAGTAGAAGCCCGGTGCCTCATTACATGAAATATCAAAATGTCTCTTTCTCATTCCATAGATTATAATATTTTTGTATTTACAGCAAAGCAACCAACATTTTCCCACAACATTTTTTTGTATTTACAGCAAAGCAACCAACCTTCCCCCACACATTTTCTTTTATATTCAATAAATTCTCATCTTTAAACTGATGTTAATTGCTTTCAAACCCAAGAGTTGCTCCTTAGAAACATAATCTGAAACATAATTTTTTTGTTTTAAAACTTTTAGTTTCTTACAGAACATTGTAAAAACTCTGAATGACGACATTTCACGGAGCGTGGCTAAGGTTCTGAGCGGGACGTTGTCTGGGTCAGACGCAGTCACAACAGCAGGAGGATGTCTGAAAATAACCAGGCGGCAGGAGGTGTGTGTGCCTGGATGTGACAGGATGTCACCCGGATCTTTAGCCTGCTGTTTTACCACGTGAGCTTTTTCTGACCTGGAGATTTGATTGGAAGGAGCTGGACGACGCATTTCCAAAAATATCAAAGGTCAATTTTAATATCAAGGCTTATTCTACAGCATCTCTAGACTAAAGAAATCCATATATGATTTGTTTTTTCAACTTGTCTTAGTACTTTCTGACTTACCCCTATAAAATGCTCTTGAAGCGTTGCCATAATCAAGGTCTAGAAACAAGCATATGATTTTATTCAAACAGGCGGTGGCCGTATATTTTTGACTATGCAATTTACAGTGTTTAAATATTTAGAGATGGAAAAACACATTTGATCACCTCCGAGTTCATGAATAAGCAATGAGATTTTTGCATTTCATGCCCATTGTAGTGGAAATGCTGTCTGAGCCTCAGCCAGTTTATGAGATTGGTCAACAAGTGTCTGCAGTAAATATTAGGAAGTAATGTGTGCATCCAAAAAAAGGGAATTGCAATCAAAACACAGCTTAGATTATGAACCCAGTGTAATTACACAGAACTAGTGAAAACACACAAAGTAAAATACTAAATATTTATAGAGCATCATTTTTAAATCCCTCAGATCTAAACTATCCATTGCTCCATACGCTTCAGCAGG